GGTTCACAACCCTCTGAACCTCCATTTTCAGGGGATCTAATGCCCTCTCTGACCTTCGTAGTCACCAGGCACAAATTTGTAGCACTTACATATACACGCTGTATCCTATTAGTCAAATTAAATGACAGCAAACAGGATGGGTGGCACACACTTGTAATCCTAGCACTTGAGAGGCAGAAGAAGGGGGAGCAAGGGTTCAAGGTCAGGCTGGAGAGATGGCTCAGCAGTTAAGAGCACTGACTGCTTTTCTGAAGGTACTGAGTTCAATCTCCAGCAACCACATGGTGGCTCACAACCATCTGTAATGGGATCCAATGTCCTCTTCTGGTGTGTCTGAAGACAGCAACAGTGTACTCACATACATAAAGTAAATAAATCTTTAAAAAATAAAATAAAAAGAGTTCAAGGTCATCCTAAGCTTCATGGTGAGTTCAAAGCCAACCAGGGTTTTGAAAGCCTGACTTAAAAAGAAAAAGAAGGAAGAAGGAAGGAAGAAGGAAGGAAGGAAAGAGAACAAGAACAAGTAATTAAGTTAAAAAAGTTAATCTATTAGTGAACTGAGAGGCTTAGTTAGTAAGGTGCTTGACTCACAGGCATAAAGATTTTAATTATAGCCCTAAAACCCAAGTAAAAATGAGAAGGTGGGGTAGGATATGCACACTTATAATCCTTGCACTGGGAGGCAGAGACAGGTGGGAGCCCAGGAAATCACCAACCTCAACCGTTTAGCTTAATAAGTGAATGCTAAGCCCGTGAAAGACGGTGCTTCAATAGAGGAGGGTAGATTCCTGAGGATGCATGGATGGACATAAACACACACACACACGTACGCACGCACGCACGCACAAGCTCTTTTGAATGGGTCCTAATCCAACATGTTGATGTCCTGTGTGCTTGATAGTCTTATGTCAACATGACACAAAATAAAGTCACCTGAGAGGATGGAGCCTCAGTTAAGAAAATGCCTCTATAAGATCAGGCAGCAGGCAAGCCTTTAGGGTATTTTCTTAATTAGTTATCAGTGGCGGAGGACCCAGCCCATTGTGGGTGGTGCCATCTGTGAACTGGTAGTTCTGGGTTCTATAAGAAGGCTGAGAAAACCAGGGGAGCAGGCCAGTAAGCAGAGCTCCTCTGTGGGCTTTGCATCAGCTCCTGCCTCCAGGTTCCTGCCTGTTTGAGGTCCTGTCCTGACTTCCTGTGGAGGTGTAAGCCAGTTAAATCTTTCCCTCACCAAGGTGCTTTGGTTGTGATGTTTCGTCAGAGCAATAGAAGCACTGACCAAGACACCCTCTAAGAGATGGACCTCTGGCAGGAATAGAAGGAAACTATGTGAGGATACACTGGGTAGAAGACAGCTGTCTCTAGGCTGAGAGAAGCTTCAGAAAAATTTGACAACTACTTAATCTCAGACTCCTGTGACAAAATTAATTTTGGGGCTGGAGAGATGGCTCAGTGGCCAAGAGTGCTTGCTGCTCTTAAAAGGACCAGAGTTTAATTCCTAGTACTGATAGTGGGTGACTCACAACTGCCTGTAACTCCAGCTCCTGGATACCCATCCATTGCTTTCTTCTAGTCTGGGTGGTCACCAACAAGCACATACACATATACACAATGCACGCATGCATATACACATTTACAAATCTTTTAAATATATAAATTTTGCTGTTTAAGTCACCCAGTTTATAGCACTTTCTCATGGAAGCCTTAGCAAACTCCTTCCCCTTCCTGCAGAGAAAAGGAACTGCTGTGGTCTCTTACCACACCTTGGGCTCCTTGTGGTTTGAGGTTCTATTGTTCATGTAGGTGCTGCCCATCATCAGGTCTGTTTTTCAGGGCCAGCCGAGATGGTGAAGAATAGAAAACTATGTGTGCCGAAAGAACACTGGTGTCGCCAAAGTCAAAAGAAGATTCTGAAGAGACCTTCAGAGGCTGGGAATCCGGTAGCAGCTGTTGTTCCTGACAGTTGTTAACTGAGACACCAAGTCGTTCTTAGCATTTGAGATGCTGGATTCTTGGAGGGGTGGAGGTTAATGACAATATCGACTAAGGAGAACGTGAAACCCTAACTGTAGATTTCCACTGGTTACTGTGCTAAGAGGGGAGTTCTGTGACCCAACAAGTCCATGGCTTAGGACAGAAGTTGCTTGTCAATGTTATGATGATGGAAAGGCTGCTGTGGCTTTGTCCAGAGAGGTTAGGATGTGGGAAGTCAAGAGTCTGATAACCAACGATGGCGAGCACCGTCAACACTCTTAATAGCCATCCTCTGCAGGAGACCCAACAGCTTGGTGACCATCGTGTAAACCAGTGGGAATGTCCAACACAAAAGTGGATTTCCAACCAACCAAAACCACACGAGTACTGCCAGCAGCTGAGGCCACAGCTGTTTTGTCTTAACATGTTCGTTTTATCTTTCCACCTATGTATTGAAAGTGCCTTTGTGTACTATAAAAGCTTCACCAAACCTTTTCCATGTTAGAACACAGAGCTTACAATAACTTAAACCTGTGTCCCTAGACCATGCTCATTCATATTTAACTTCTGAATAAACTCTCTTACAAAACTCTCTTACAAAACAGAAGACAAAATGTCTTAGCTTAAGAGTAGCTTAAGAATATGACCATATGTCATTTTTTTAAAAACTTGTGTAGTTGGGGGCTGAATCAATACCTCAGCAGTTAAAAGTACTTGCTGCTCTTACAGAGGACCTAGGTTCTGTTCACAGCACTCCCATGGAGCTCACAACAACCTGTAACTCGAGTTCCAGGAGATCTGACGTCATCTTCCGACCCCTGCAGGCACCGGGCACACACATGGTGCACAAACACACATGTGGGCAAACTTTTTTTTTTTTTTTTGAGACAGGGTTTCTCTGTGTAGCCCTGGCTGTCCTGGAACTCACTCTGTAGACCAGGCTAGCCTCGAACTCAGAAATCCACCTGCCTCTGCCTCTCAAGTGCTGGGATTAAAGGCGTGTGTCATCACTGCCGGCGACAAACATTTATAAACATAAAATAAAAATAAATCTTGTTTAAAAAAACATAGGGTTTTTTGGCTTTTGTTTATTTGTTTGTTTGTTTTGTTTTTTGAGACAGACTTGTCGGTTTTCAAACCTGGGAAAATGGCCAAGGTGCCTACCTAACATATCAAACTGGTCACTGGCCACCAGGTTCTCCTGCAATTCCTCAGTCCCCATCCATTACAGGCTCCTCCTGGCTCCTAGATCCCTCTCCCCATCCTGAACTTAAGGGGGATGAACTGTGTTTCCCTTTAAAATCTCACCATGTTGGTTACCCACTCTCTTTGTACCTTAGGGACTCCTGGCTGCAGTACTTAGTTTCCTGCTATCTCCCCTGGCCATCTCTCTGTCTCTGTCTCTCTCTGTCTCTGTCTCTCTCTGTCTCTCTCTCTCTCTCTCTCTCTCTCTCACACACACACACACACACACACACACACACACACACACACCCCTGGCTCAGGGGCATGTCCATGTCCACTCTGGACTCTCCCAGAGGTCCCTGCCGCTGGCTATCCTCTCCACATATCTATCATAAACTTTCTCCTCCACAGAGGACCGCTCATGTTCTTTTCCTTTTTATTTCTGTTTTTCATTCAAGAGTCTATGTAGTCCTGGAAGTTCTGAAATTTTCTCTGTAGACCAGGTTGGCCTTGAAGTAACATCCCCTTACTTCAGCCACCTCCTGAGTGCTGGAATTAAAGGTATGTATCATCACACCTGCCTCATGTCATATTTTTAGAGATAGAAAGTAAAGCTCTCTTCTGAAGTAAGCCCCATCTTCTGAGAGAACTCACGTCAGAGTCTCACTCACACCCTCATGCCTTGTTGAGAATCATAAAATGACACAACTGGGCAAATGGTATCAAAATTACAAGAGCAGAAAATTATACAACAATAAAATTGCTCTTAAAAACTTCAAAGGCATCAACTCCTTGGCCACACAGCCAAATGGTACAGCGGATAACCACTGCCACTGTAATAAGCCAAACTTGGAAATAATCCAAATGTCTTCCCATAAAGGGTGGTTAAATAAAGTGTGTTATAGCCACGCACTAGCATTTCACAGAGCTGGTGTGTGTGTGTGTGTGTGTGTGTGTGTGTGTGTGTGTGTGTGAGAGAGAGAGAGAGAGAGAGAGAGAGAGAGAGAGAGAGAGAGAGAGAGAGACTCTCTTCTCAGAGATATGAAAGATTTCCAAGATAGATTAGGTAGAAAAGCAGGGCACCGGGCAGTTGTATGTTTGTTTCTCTTTGGAAGTAAAGAGAGGAAAGCAGTATACTATACATACATATAGTTAATTTGCTTATATTTGTTAAAGGAAGCTCTGGGTGGGTGGAAACTGAATTGGGACAGGTGTGAAGGCAGGCTGAGGTGAGTTCAAGGTCAGACTGGGCTGTAGAGTGAGTTCCAGGTCAGTGTGGGCTAAAATAAGAATCTGCCTAAACAACAAACAAACAAAACCAACGCTCCCAGAAGAGGCTAAGCAGGTCAGAGTGCCTGCCTTGTAAGCATGAAGACGTGACTTCAAATCCGCAGACCCCTGGTGTGTGCCTGTAAGTTATCAGTGGGGGTGGGGGACAAGGCAGAGGATTACTGGAGCTTGCTGCCTGCCAGTCTAGCTGTGGGTTCAGTGAGAGATAGGGCATCGAGATGGAGCACGATATTCTCTGACCTCTGTGTGCTGTGCGCTAGCACGGTGCACACACACCCCACACTCACGTGACATGCACAGCACACACACACACACACACACACACACACGAGCATGGTGTGTGAACACACATGTGAATGCACCACACACATCACATGCACATACAACACACACAAATAATATTTTTAAAGAAAAAAAAATAAGAAAGAGAAACAATTTGTTTCTAGAAAAAAAAATAGACAGGAACGTTCTAGATGATGTTCTCCTTCATTACACTGTTACAACAAATCTGGCATGAACCCGAGTACTGTCCCCACTGTTACCCATGAGGAAAGCCTTTTGGCAAATCGCCACCCCACAGCTAGGGACTCGCAGTCGGATTTTCGCCTCCCTTTGTCTTTTAAATCAATCCAGCTACACCCCTCAGACTGCTCCGTGAGCAAACACTGGCCCCAGTTCTTCAGAATTATCATCGGAGACAAACGGTATCAAAGGCGAAAACTCAAGCTACAGTGTCCCGGACATAGAGAGCCAAGGCCTGCGAGATACTTGTTGAGCAAGCTGGGTTCGCTGGCAGCTTCCGTTTATCTCAGAGGTTCCTCTGTTGTTTTCCTGGCTTTTCAGAAGTCTGTTTTGGAAGCGGTGAGTGGAGGAGGGGATGGAAACACGATCCGCTTTGTGTGGTACATGCAGTTCCCTGAGGCAACTCTTTTTTTTTTTTTTTTCCTGAGACTTTTGAAGTTTAGGGTTATTGCTGCACTCACTGGCTCTGGACACTTTGTCCAAGCGAGCAAGTAACGGGATGTGAAATCAACGTTGAAGCAAAACCCGGTCCTTGGTCGGGCCTCTGCTGTCCGGCTACTGGGCTCCTGGGCACGAAAGGCTAAACCCAAACAGGGACTCCTGGAGGTTTGCTGGCTGGGAGAAGGTACTGGAAGCCAGTTAAATTACACTTCAGATTGCTGGGTATTCCAGATCTTTTGTTAACCAGCTATGACCTTTATTCCTGCCGTGAGAAAATTTCTCTTAAACCAGATTTACGTTCTATGTAAAAATTTCCAGGCTTTGACTCACTCTGAGCAGCCTGATTCTGAAGATTGGTTTTGTTCTGTTTTGTGTTTGTTTTTGAGACAGAACTTTACATTATATCCCAGGCTGCCCTGGGAACTCCTGGAAATCCTTCTGTCTCAGTCTCTGAAGGCCTGAGATTACAGGAATAAGCCATTATGGCTGGCTGCAACCACTTCTTCACAGCTGTTACCTATGTAGAAAATTTGAGTGATGAGGCGGGGAAACAGCACAGCCGGTTAAGTGCCTGCCTTACAATTGTGGGGGCTGGTGTTGGAGCCCTCACAAAACAAAGCCTAATGTGGTGGCAAATCAATAATCCCCATGTTTGGGAGGTAGAGACAGGTGGATCCCTGGGACCCACTAAATGGCTAGCTAGCCTACCTCAGTCAGTGAGCTCTGGGTCCCAGTAATAGACCTTGCTTCAAAAAAAATATGGTACAGACCAGAGAGATGGGTCGGCAGTTAAGAGCACTGGCTGCTCTTATAGAGGACCTGGGTTTAGTACCCAGCATCCACATGGCAGCTCACAACTGTATGTAACTCCAGTTCCAGAGGATTCAGTGTCCTCTTCTACACCAGGAACACATGTGGTACACACACATACATACAGGGAAACACTCATACACATACAATAATGAGGTGGATTGTACTTAAGAAATGACATCCAAGGTTGACCTCTGGCTTCCACATGCATGAACTAACTCTCTCTCCCCCCCACACACACACTCACACACACACACACATTCTCTCTCACACACACCACAGACTCATACATACACATAGTCACATATGCACACATATACTCACATACACACTCCTAAACCCACATGCACATACATACATTCTCTCTCTCACACAGAGTGGTACTGTAGAAAGGTTCTGTTTAGAGCTCTTTTAAAAACATGTATGGGCTGGGTCGTGTGTATACTATGCTCCTGTGGAGGTCCAAGAACAACCATAGATAATCCATTCTTTCTTTCTACCATGTGGATGAACTCAGGCCACTGTGCTTTGTACAAGTGTTTTATTGTTTGTTTGTTTGGGGTTTGTTTTTTTGTTGTTGTTGTTTGGTTTGGTTTTGACCACAGAGCTATCTTGCTGATTCTCCAATCGGGGGTCGTGTGTAAGAGGTGAATGTCTTCAAACACCACATAAAACAAGTGGATGCCCTCAGATTACATATTATTCTCTCAGTTACATATTATTCTCTCTATTGACTTTATCTGTGACACTGGCTTGCCACATTGTCAGCTGGGGCCTGGGTTAGGACCATTATCCTAGGGAAAAACTACACAGTTCTGAATGCCATAATCCTGAATGTTGAAATCCTACATTTTTATTTCCAGATAAGATCTCATGTGGCCTAGGCTGGCCTTGAACTCCTGAACCACCAGCCTCCACCTACCAAGTGCGGGATTACAGATGTGTGCACCACACTGGGATAATTACAGGATGAAACGAACGTTTATTTGAGTCACATTAAAAACATGATGGACAGAACACGTCATAAGGCACTTGACTTTACACAACACACATCTTTGCAGCCATAAACATCCAGACATACTAACAACCCTCACTCAGATATAACAGTTTTAAAAGAGATAAATGGTGTTCATAAAGAAATAGGTCAAAAAGGAAAATGCATAAAGAGTTATCACTGGGGTTGTCCGAGGACATGCCGCTCTAAAGCTGCATACCCTGAGGTACTGCAGGCAGAGGTTGCTCCAGAAAGGGGGGGGGGGGGAGACTGGAGAAGGGGCTGGGGAGGGCCACCCAAACCCTACTGTGAGTCACTTCCACACAGGCAGTTCTTCAAGGTGCCAAGTCCAAAGGCCTTAGAACCAGAAAAGCCAACCTTGCAACTCTCAGCCCTGAGGCTGAAAGTGCTTCCAGCTTCCAGAGAGACCAGCTAGCCTTCTGTGTCTGTTCTTTTCAGGGCCCTGGATGATTAAGACAGCACCCACGTGAGGACGGACCTTCTCTCCTTCAGAATCCCACATGTCTACACTAGACTTCTATCCTGCCTCTAACCCCAAATGCATCCAGCCCCACCGCACATCTTGGCTTTCTGCCCCTCCCTTATGTCTGGGCATGTCTGGCTTTCAGGATTTTAATCTTTTAGGATTGTGATTATTTATGACATAGCCTTATTTGGTAGCCCACACTGGCCTTGGATTCCTGATCCTCTTGCCTCAGCTTGAGTGCTAGGATTACAGGTATACTCCACCACAGTCAGGATTTGAATCTTCAGGGACTTCAGCTTTTGGCATTAATGAAGCTGGGATCCTGTCTCTTCAGATCAGCACTTCTTGCAAAGATTGAGGCTTGCACCAACTGGCAAAACTGAAGCGACGGCTGCAGTTGTTCCTCCTCAATGCTGGAGACTTTTATCTTTCACAGTGGCTCACAATTCCAAGCCACACAGACCCTCACTGTGCTTTCCACCTTATGAATCTTTTTCCTTGTCACAGGAACAAAGCACCCCTCTCAGCCTCCCCCAAAATCCTCTCTGGAACCAAGCGTTAGGTTGCTATGGTTCTAGATGTCTCTCCCAGGCCCATGGATCGCACTGATGGAGCTCAGGACACTGACTGAGTCTTAGAAAACAAAACTTCGCCCCGGCAGTCTGAAGGAGGAAGAACACTGTGATTGACAGCACTCAGACTTGGCCAAGCCCCAGTCACCACTGGCTTCAGACTCACAGCACCAAGCTTCAGCTATCTAAGTTGGATAGAAGTGACTGTTCCAGGGCTGTTGGGATGGCTCGGTGAGCAGAGGCTTGCTGCCAAGCCTGTCTGATGACTTTAAGCCCTGGGAGCCACTTGGTGAAGAAGAGAATCAGCTCCACAAGGTTTCCTCTGACCTCCATATGTGGCATGTGTGTACCCCTCCAATCATAATAATGAATTTAAATTGCCATCCCCTGTTTGTGTTTTCATGGCTCCCTTAATAACATATAGCTCATACACCACCTATTTTAACTGCTTAAAATGTGCCAGGCAATTAATTTTTTTTAGTATTTTCAGAGTTTTGAATACAAACATCATCAAGGCAATTTAAGAACATTTTCACTAATTAGTTTACTCATCTCTTGCCCGTCAGTGTGGATTCAGCTGTCCTATCCATATACAAGCCAGATTACACGGTTGTGTGCGCTTCTGTGTATGGCGTCTTCACATGGCACAGTCTTTCAGGCTCACCCATGTTGCCGGAAGTGTCAGCACTTCATTCCTTTGTGCT